CGGAGCGCATACGCAACCAACACGCATCTGGTGGAAATTGGCCTTTACAGTCTGAAAACTGACATTATATTAAAAAAGGTGTAGGAGTTGGGATAGTGTTTGCATCTTGTAAGTTATAGAGATGAATGGAGAGTATAAAAATGAGAATAACCTAAAAATGAAAAAGAATTTCAAAAATCAGTGTAATATCTTTTAAAGTAGTAGCAGTATCTATTATAGTGGAGCTTGGAGTGTCTGGTGTAGACACTGTGAGAGGAGACACATTTTGTGATCTTGAGCTCTATTGGGTTCAATGGAACTGACATTTATTTTAGCATATTTTGTTACATATTAGCATGAAATAAATGCATTTTACTCCTCATTTTACACATTTTGTGTCACTGCACCATGGCCTGAACTGTACCAACAAACCATCATTTGTTTCCTTAAGTCAAAGTAACTTTCCTTTAAGTCAGTATATTGATCAGTTTCTTCACTTTTTGCTGTATTTTTGTTACTACCATCCAGTTTATGAAGGGGACATATCAATATTATGAGAAAAACATGGTCGTATTTGTTCTACCTCAGGTTTGGGTATCTGAAATCAAAGCCTTTTTGAGTATTTGTGTAATTACTATCATATACAACATGGACAGAAAAAGTTTGGAGCTGATGGTCCACAACTAGTAAAAATGTTTCAGCAATTCCTGTCAGGGGACATTTAAAAATTCACATAAAAGGCAACAAAGTGAAAGCAAACTTGCACTCTAAGCTTTTTTTTTTTTTTTTAACAAATCCTTCCATTAAAAAGCATATAAGCAGAAAACATGATGCAAACCCCTGCACTACCATTTCCTTCATTTTCTTCCTTATATATTATTCTTGTCTGTTTTACCATTGCAAAGTAGATAGAAAAGCAGCAAATGTTATTATGAAGGGTTACCTTCATCTGAATGGTAATTGTGTAATTTGTAATACTCTGTATAATACAAAGTATTCAGTGCATATTTTTGTGTAAATGGAAGAGAGCTACAATTAGGACACTGCTTTGATGTCTCAATCCATAATTTAGCCTGTTTAGCATATGAGAAAGAAAAAAAGCAGGGCTAAATTGTAGCATAATGAGCTCAACAAGAACACTGACCACAGGGGGGTCTTTGACTGACATGCAAAATGACCATCTACAGACTAAAGGAGCCAAGCTTAAGACAGATTTAATGCAACTTAATAATGCACTTGAACACAGTTTTGGGAGTTGGCAGAGAGAGATTGAAAGAGTGGTCAAAACTGATGCAGCAGAAGCCAAGATATCCAGATGTGGGTCACACTCCAAAAATGCAGGAACCTGCATTTCCCATAATGCGCACAGACAGCTTTTTTCACAACACCTGGTAGATGCTCTTATCTCTCAAACTCCGCATCTCCAGTTTGTAACTTGGATCTTCTGTTAAAAATTTAAAGTCTCTGATCCCAAGCTGAAAGAACCCAGATGACATCACAATTACATCATCCATCATCCAACTGACAAAGCACCTGCAGAGACATTTGTGAGGTGAATAACTGTTTCAAACATGACAGCATTATTTCATCTTTTTATTATCATCAGTAAACCCCTGAATAAATCAAAAAACAAATAGCTTACACTTTGTGTTTGAGTCCATAATTATTCCAAAACTAATAAAAACCCATAAAATAGCATTACTTGAATGAGCATGGTCATTGTAGTGTATTTGAAACCACCTCAGGACTGCAGCAAAGCTATGTGGTTACAGGCTGTGACCACACAGACAGCAGTGGTTAGTAGGTTAAATTCATTGTTGGTTTAGGTCTTGTCAAGGGATTTGCTAATAATAACAAAAAGCTAAAGTAACAGTGGCCTTATCCTTTAACAATCAGCGGGCTATGCGTCAGACGGCACAGGGATCATCTGGGGCTGAGACTAGTAAACACTGGGGGCAGGAAGTCAGGAAGTATGTTTCCGGCACATTGGTGACCCCTCGCAGCTACAGTGTATAGAAAGACTTCCTTTCTTTCCTCTGGGCTAAAGTTCACCCATACACTGTATTCATAACACAGCACAGTGGGACTCTGCAGCCTGGAATTTAAAGTTTCATTGCTCCAACATCAGCATTGAAAGATTGTCTTTGTTGCGTTGGGAGCTACAGTAGCCACATGTGAGCATACTGGTTTTATTTGCCCTTTATACATATAAACTTGATATATTTGTGCCTGAGTGTGTGCCACGACCTCAGTCAGTATTTAAATTGCAAACAGTAAGTTCTCTTAGGTTGTTTTATGTCCTGTAGTGCAACTGCAGTTTAGCTGTGGGAAACAACATGACAATAAAGCTCTCCTGAATCTTGAATGTGAACCAGCAGCTGCAGTGCATCTGGCTTTTAAGTTCTTTAACATTTCTAACCACTGTGTATCCCATGTGAAATCTATTTCTGTAAATTCATGAGGAGCATACAGTGTGTGCAAGTAATATTTTTTTAAAAAATGAAATAGAGTGGATTTCCATTACAGTGTGAAATTGTGCAATATATTTCCAAATAACAAAAGGCATTTTTGAACACAAGTATAATTTTGCAAAACTAATGGAAAATGCATCATTAATTTGCCTACAGAGAAGTTACAGTGGGAGACTGCCTCTAAAGGCAAAGCAAAATGTTCTGGTCTGGTTTCCATCGGTTAAAGTAAATGAAATATCACTTGAGGGTGTTCATGCAATAAGTATGGGTACTCATGTGGGCTAAGATCATATGCACTGAGAACAGTTCAAGCCCTGAGCCTGATACAATAAAAGTGAATAGACGTGTCTTTGTGATGCCCACACAGGGACGGTTTTTGCTATGGGCAATGTGGGCGACTGCCCAGGGCGCAATCTATGTGAGGCCGCACAAGCGCCCTCCAAAAAAAAACAAAAAAACAAACAAAACTCGGCAGTTTTCTAGACTACCGCTCATTTCCACGTCAAGTTAGTGGAGTGGGCGCTGGGGCGCCCCATTATCACGTTTCAACCAGCAGCAGAAAGGAAAGGTGAATCCTGGCAGTTGTGGGTTGAACGGGGGTCACAGACAGGAATACGGCGGAGGCTCATAGTGCTCTGCGGCGCAAGATAACAGCTTACCGGCGACAGAGAAGTCCGACTTCAGGTCCAGTAATTTCCTCTTTCGATGGTGTCATGACTGCCCAGTAGTACCTGGACAACCGAGCCGTGGCGGCACACAGGTATGTGGCGTGTCAGAGGAGAAACGAGCCGTTCACATTTCTCTCTTTGTGGCAGGTAACGGCCCACAAACCTCACTGTACTTTAGGGACTGTTCTTTATTTATGAAGGGACTGTTCTTTACTTATCAGGGGAGGAGGGTGGCTGGTTGATTTCTAGCCAGGACCGCCTCTGTGCCCACAGCACTGGAAAAAATAATTTAAAAAAAGCACAGCAATGCATCTTTCCTGTTAGTCTGGATAATACAAAAAACACAGTTATTAGTTTTTAAAGGGACTGTTTTCTCAGTGGAAAGTAATACAGATGTTCACAGCAGTCAGTAAAAGTAAAAGTAAAAGTAAAAGTGAAAGTACTAGTACCACACTGTGGAAAATACTCTGTTAAAAGTAAAAGTCCTGCATCAAAAATGTTATGAAAGCAAAAGTAAGTTTCACCCGGAAAATGTACTTTACTCGTGGCCCAGTTGTTGAAAAACACGTGCTAAAGTGCCCTCCTGGGAGCCAAAACATGCTAAAGTGCCCTTTTGGCAGCCAAAGTGCCCTCCTGGGAGCCAAAACGCACGCTAAAGTGCCCTCTTGGCAGCCAAAATGGCCTCCTGGGAACCAAAACACGCGCTAAAGTGCCCTCTTGGCAGCCAATCATGTTTTATCATGGTAAAAACATGATAAACTGCCCTCTTGGGTGGTAAAAACATTACTGTTGCAATTACTTTTATGTTGGGCCCTTTTTTGATCTATATTGAGCCAGAACTATATCTCACAGAACCAGTTTGGATTATCTGGTGCTAATATGGTGTTAAAATGCACTAGAATACAGGAAATGGCATCTACTTAATTGAAAATTTTCTGGGGGAGGACCTCCAGACCCCCCCAGGGATTTATTTCTTTCATACATCCATGTCTCTGTGTGTTCTTCACAGTCCAACATTGAATCTACACAGTTCTCGTGGATGCTGATCCTAACTACAAACTAACTTGAGTAGTCTGTCTATTAGTCTGTTTTAAGGCTATATAATATGCCATTTGTATAACATATAAACATGTCTAAAGTGCCCTCGAAAACACACAGAACTTAGTGCCCTCTTCAGTGGCGAGAACGCGCTGTATGTGTCCTTTTTTTTTCTTTTCGCCCCTGCCCTTCAAAAAGTCTGTGCACGCCACTGCTCAAGTAAAGTACAAGTACATTACTTGAGATAATGTACTTAATTACGTTCCACCACTGGTTCACAGTGAGGTCTGTGGATTAACGGGGACACCTCACCTCCATTGTACTGGGATGAAGGCAGAAATGTCAAGGACAGATTTGAGCAAATTAGACCGAATTTATATTTACTTTTACTAGAAACCAAAGGGTTTCCACCAAAACAAACAAACAAAAAAATCCCATGTTTTTCATTTGTTACAAAATACAAAATGATAGATGCACGCTACTCTCTGTGCGGTGATGTGGTTGAGAAAATAGGAAAATAGTTCCTACATGAAACTGCTCACAATTTGAGTAACCGGGTCATGATTTTTGGAAAGAAACTTTGATGTTGAGTTTTTTAAATGTATTTTTATGACACTTTGAGCACCATCTAGTTCCATTATATTTGAGAGAAGACAGACATCTCTGTGGCCGATATCTCCAACACTCAGCAACTCACACCAAAACAATCTAGACCGATAAATAGCACTCCAGGTAAGAGTATAAATATGTGTTTTTTATTTTGGGGTGAACTGTCCCTTTAAATGTTTTTTGTAATTTGGTTTAAGTAACCCTTAAAAGCCTTCTGAATTCTATGTCCTAACAGGACCTGTACTACCAGTCCTATGCTCAGGTTGGAGTGTTGTTCGCCTCCATCGCCAATTTCAACGACTTCTACATTGAACTGGACGGGAACAACATGGGCGTCGAATGTCTCAGGCTGCTCAATGAGATCATCGCTGACTTTGATGAGGTGAGTAAATGTTTTGTTGCATCGTAAATCAGCAGTTTTCATTTCTGCCTCCCTCTGCCTTTGGAGAATTTGGGGTGAAGCTCTGGTGCAATGTGTCCTCCATAATGTCATTTTCAAAGATGACATTGTGGCCATGACTGAGGGTTTAAAAAAATACTGTGTTTATTGACGCAATATAATAAGCAATGGTTGCGGTTGGGAAAGTTCTTCAAAATAAGGAATTACTTACAGATGACTTTCGGCCTGCTTGAATCTATAATCAGCAACATAAAGCATTAATTTACTCAAACACGCTAAAATAGTTCATTTTAAATTGCGTTTGGATTTGTTTGCCAACACAACCTATAATATATATGAGCTTAAACTGACAATTTACTCCAATTTGATTTGAAATTTGTAATAGTAGTAATGCTTTCCTCCTGTTTTTATCCCTGTTTTCTTTTTTTTCTTTTTCCTACCAGCTGATGGACAGAGAGTGCTACAGGGATATTGAGAAAATCAAGACTATTGGCAGTACATACATGGCTGCAGTAGGGCTGGTTCCTACAACTGCCTCCAAGGTACACATGCAGCAGCTATATTTAGATCCTGTATGAGTTTTTGTGTGTGTTTGCAGGGTATTAGCACATTTCGAAACTGTTTCGAACGCACACGGCAGTTTTGAGAGGCCCGGTGTTTGCAGGTAGCTATTTTCTGAGTGTTGATATTTAGAGCGCTGTCACGTTTCACTCCACAAATCCTCTGTGAGGGATTATGGGCCTCTGTGGCGTCAGCATATTCTGCGTTCATAAAGTTCCTTTCCTTCTGCAAACATAACAACCTGTTGCAGGGGTGGTTTTGACTTTTTATGACTAATTATGTATAAATCTGTGTTTTCCTGATAGTTGTGTGTTTCTCTGATTCACAGGTGAAGAAGTCCATCACCTCACATTTATGCACAGTGTCAGATTTTGCCATTGACATGTTCGACGTCCTGGATGCCATCAACTACCAGTCTTACAATGACTTTGTCCTGAGAGTAGGTGAGTGAAAAGACACACACATGCACACACACACACACACACTGGTCTACGTAAACATTGGCGTTGGATGTTCTGACCTATTGCACTGGACAGAACTGACACTCTGTGCCGGTAAAGTTGGAGGGAAATGCATCACAGAATGAGTGTTCCCTCCAGGAAGCTCGTCACAGCGAGACCTGAAGTTCTGGGTTCCATTGTGTTGGGTATCCTGTGGGGAGCCTGCAGCAGGAGCCCTTGTTTAATCCCAGCGTAACCTGGTGTACACAATGCCATCCTGTCTGCAGACTGTGGGACACCATGTGTAAAAACTCCATGTGTTTGTGCGCTTGGCTGAACCCCCTCTGCAGAAAAGCAACTTTTGGTAATTTGCGTAATGCTGTATTTCCAGAAAGGGCAGAAAAACAAAGTTTGGCCTAGTTTCATTTGGTCTGCACATGTCATGTTGCTGTCTAACCTCTAAAACCTTCAGAGCTGTGGCTATAAAGATGAAGCAGAGCCTTGGACTTGCAGAGACATGCTGTCACAGTGGTGTAATTAGTAACAATGGTTTATTTGTTTTGCGATACTAAAGATAGATTAATGTAGTAATCAAAAGGTAATTAGGAAAAGCTTATTACCTCCGCCAGGTATCGCCCGAGAGGGGATCATGCATTTCGTTGTGTGTGTGCATGCATGCGTTTATGTGTGTGCGTGTGTATTGTGTGTATCTGTCTGTCCGCAGCTAATCTTGCAAACTAGTGGATCAATCAGCCTAACAGTTTGTGTGCGTGTTTATGACTATATGCTCAAGGATCTCTTGCTACGTCTTGGCCATTTTAATCTGTATTGCCATATAAAATAAAAGCATATTAATTTTTGCACAAACTCTACAGTGTGCCTTGGATTGTTTGTGAAAAAGACTTGCATTTTTATATTTTTTGATTGAGAGTTTACCTTACTCATGCAGTGAGTAACAAGATGGAGTAAACACATAGAAAACTGACTTCAATAGAAAAGTTTGGTCTAATATGAGCCCAGAGCATCTGCAGATTAATTCCATACCCAATATGTTATGGTCCACCAAAGTTAGGCATAATTAATACGAGATGAAAAAAAAAGAGTTTAGTTCTCTTTGCCACCATCTTGACTATTAGGGAGCTGGGACTGACAGTTCCATTGATACAGCTGCACCACATATATTGCTACAATCAGCTCTGGCAGCTTTGTTGCAGCTAGAACATAGCTGCCTGGCAATGATCTGCACTGCACCGAGGGCACTTTTAGTTAATGATGCATTTACCCTATAAATCACAACTCTCTCCCCGACATGGAAGTGCAGTAGCAGCTTTTGAAGACTATCTGTATTTCTTCTCCTGGTGTAATTTAATTATTATTACATTATCTAATCTAGTACATTTGTAGAGCAAACAGGGAACTGCATTTGCTATACTCCTCATATAAGGCTTTGAAGGTGCACTGAACAAAACATAAGGCTCAATACATAACACAAAATTGTATTCATGATAGTTAAAAACAGATGAAAATTAGATAAGTTTATTGTAATCTGACTGAGAGCACTTACAACTTGAGATTTTGGGCTCAAGTCAGACTCCAGTCACGAAAATGATTTTGATTCTGTAAAAACTCTGGTTCACATGAAACATAAAAGCAAAAACATGCAAGTCCTAAGCTTAAACCAGTGTTTTCATTGAAAATGAATGTTTTGTCCATGTGTCCAGGTATCAACGTGGGACCAGTGGTGGCAGGAGTGATCGGAGCCAGAAGACCACAGTATGACATTTGGGGAAACACAGTGAACGTAGCCAGCAGGATGGACAGCACTGGAGTACAAGGAAAGATACAGGTAGAGTCCTTCAGTCCACTGTGGTCTCCTTTGTTTTCCTTTATATCATCAGGTAAAAGTGTTAATAAGATTAGAATCTGTTTCAAGGGAGACCTGGTCAAAAGGAAAGCATAAAAACCGAAGAGCATTCAAACAGAAAAAACAACAATTTGTGCTTTTAAGGAGACGTCAGTTTAGTTTGAACTAGTTTACCTGGAACTGTTTCTTGGCAAAGAGCCGCTGTGTGTAGCTTTCTGATGTCTTCTTATTATAGTAAAGTTGCCATGTTTGGTACCACTGTGACTGCACAAGGATCCAAAACCTGTCTCACACCATATCTGGCAGCCCGTGCTATAGTCTAAGACACTGTGCAGAAGTGCTGGGTGAATAAACTGTTATTTGTCAAGAAATAGTCCAAATCTCAGCTCCGTGTAAAGCCACACATTTCTGTGCAGGTGCAGGTAAAAAAATAAAGAAAATGCATCAGACAGAGCCAGGCTAGCTTTTTCCCTCTGTTTCCAGTCTTTATGCTAAGCTAAGCTAATGTCTGATGGTTGTAGTTTCATATTTAGCATACAGACATCTCCTTATCTAACTCTCAGACAGAAAGCAGACTTAAAAACTTACTATAAGTCACCAGTAATAACCTCTGACAATGTCATGTTCTTTTGTAGATTGTTTTAAGTGAAAACACTGTGTCCTTGTCTTCAACTATCTCCTAATATGAGGATCTGACATCTGTAAAACATCCTGAGAAACTTCATCCGCCCATGTTTCCTCTCCAGGTGACGGAGGACGTTCATCGTCTCATCACAGACTACTACGACTTTGTCTGCCGGGGCCAGGTCAGTGTGAAAGGCAAAGGTCAGATGCTCACGTACTTCCTTGAAGGCCGCAGACAAGGCAGCAGGCCGTCTCAAATCCAGCAGCAGCCCATCAATGCTGAGCGCCGGTCAAGCGCGTTCGCTCAGGGCAGTGTGTGCACAAGGCTGAGCCCTGCCCCTACCATCACCACCTACAGCACCACAAGGACCCCGAGCCCGAGCACGGCCAAGCCGACCACCTCCACCAGCACCACCAGGTACCTGCCCTCTGTCCCCATGGCAACAGTGTGACGGATCTCCATGGTGATCGTGGAAAACAAGAAAATAAGAATGGAGGTGGGGAAACAGCGTGGATGATCAACAAGGCAGCAGTAACACAGAGAGTTTATCAAAACAGGAAAAAGTAGAGCTGACCTCCACTCTTCTTCTACTGTCTGTGGGATGCAGCTGAGACACTGATTGTCCAATGGGAGGCCTGCACTCAGGCCTGGACTTTAGGACTGAGGCTGCCTCGGTGGGACTCTCCCTGCACACTCGAGCCCTGTTTGTTGTTTGATGCCGCGGGATGTCGTGAACATGATACAGGATGCTTTAGCCACGTTGCTCTGTGAAACAATCAGAGTCGACTCCTAAAAAACTGTTTCCACAACTATAATAAACGAAATCAGCATCATAATCAAAACAATTGCACAATTGATAGTGTAGCACGCAAGCCTCTAGCAACAACAACCACATCCGGAAAATTCCTTTAAGTACTTTAGCTGACCCTTTTCTCTCAGTATAAAACCAAATCAGTGCTGTTGCCTTAGCGACCACTCCTCACAATGAGTTTCTTGCCATCTTTTTTGTTGCCTTTTAGATCCTCCATTGATTTATTGGACACCAATTCAGATGAGTTAATTACAAGGGCATTGTTGTCCAGATATCTGTTTTTAAAGTGGATGAAGCCAAATGTATAATTGTAAATGGCAGTTAATGGTACAAACTCGCCAAAATACGACAGGGCATTGACCTCAATCATTTCCTGGACGTTTATGCCCCTTCACTTTAACCCTGCGACGGCACATGAGGTAAACTCTTGATTCCCTGAGCCGAACCGCTCAGTGTCTTTAAGTGCATGATGCCACTGCTGCATTTCAGTCATGTTTGCTGTCTGTTTCCCTGTGATGCTTGACTTCCAGATTCTTCCTCGTCAAAGTGTAGCAATAAATCAGTTCGTCTCCTATCTCAGCCCCTTGCATGCTGTAGCCAGCTGGATCCTATTTTGACCTGATAGTGTATGTAGCCAATAGAGTGTGCATAGCTAGTCACACTGGTCTGTATCTCTGTGGATTTGAAGCATGACTTAGAAAAACTTATTTTCTGTATTGTGTGAGTGTGATTTCCTTCCTCATGGAATTCTATTTAAAAAGAAGAATAAGAAGAACATTTTTTCTGCGTGCTTGTTTATTAAGAAATATTTTCTATTGTTAAAATATTCAGTTCTACTATTTTTATGAACTAAAAGCTGCTTTGGTCAAGAGAAGAAAACTGCTGTTTATGAGGAGACACCCAAACCTCCGTGTCTGGCTTCCTCATACAAATCCAGATGATTTATTCTATGGTAGAGCATGCTACTCACAGTACGGCTTACCACAGCCATTAACTCTCCTCTAATCTGTTCTAGCATGCACTGCCTGCAAGCCTGTGGCTCTTACATGCATGCTTTGATGAAACATTCATACAGGCCGAGCAGCGGACACACAGTGACTCTGTTTTAATGTAGTCCTCATGCATGCGCTAAAGGTAGCGGTCCTCTTGAATGTAAGGTGCTTTTTTGACCCGTGTCTTCTTCATGAGCTTGGTGTGTGAAACCTTTTTCGAGGACATTTTCAGGACGGTTTGACATCAGGCCGGGGGATCCTCCTCCTCCCCGCTCCTGCTGTAGTCAACAGGTAGCTGGTTTTTCAAATGTGCCAACCTATTTTCATAAACATATCAAACTTTTGGTGTTGAGCTGTAGCACAACGGAATGTTTGGCTACGGTTATTGTGGATTTTTCTTTTTTGTCGAATGCCTGTATTTTTACTGTTTGAGCTGTTCCTTAATGGTTTTGTAACTCAATGATCAAATGATGGCAAGTGTTGATTTTTGGAGAGATTTATTTGGACACCATAACCTGAATGAAATGATGTTGTTGTACTTCTTATCATATTTCAAAAATAGATTTAAAGTCTATATAGTAGCTTGAATGCTTACTTTAAGTTTCTAAGAGATTAAAAATGAGGATTTTTATACACTTGCTTTAAACAGTTTGATGGAAAGTTGATGGAAAGGAGTTATGTACAATATTTTTTCCTGTAAATTGGATATTTTCATACTGTATGATACGGGTTTCAATTGTTACATGTAGGTATTACTTGCTATTATTGTACATTGTAGAGTCTTTTTTCAGAGATATATTACGAATGATCCGATATTTGTCAAGTTCTTTTGTTGAAGATGTATTTATTGAGATGTTTTATGTGAATGTAAATTTTGTTAAAGACGATATTTTATACTAAGTGTTTGCACTGCAATGATATTGACGTATTATGATTATAAAAATAAAGCCAGAGGGGACGTGTCTCCTGGAGTAAAAACAGCTCTTCCTGTGCTCATTCTTTTCACTTACACACACACACACACACACACACACACACACGCACACACACAAACGTGGTGCATATGGAGAGGCCATCAAACTCAGTTATAAAGTTACGTAACAGTAGAAAAACAGAGTAGCTGATGTAAGAAGTTTGGAGCAACATGCGGGTCAATGTCAGCCAGTTGTCCAGGAGGAACCTCCTGCTGATCTTGTGAACACAACTGCGACCAGAAAAACATGACAGCAGAGATTATGAAAGTGTAGAGAGCAGATCCTGTACGATATGTGCAGATAAACACCACGAGTGTTGCAACATTGTTGGGAGCAAAAACACAATGAACTGTAATAGAGTACAAGTGATGAGGGCTGTAGTTTTTTTGTCTTTGTTGTTTTTTTTTATTTTAAAAAATAATAATTTAAACATTACGTAGTAGTAAAAGTAGTAGTAGTGACAATAACAATAATAATAATAATTATAATAATAATAATAATAACAATGTATATATCACTTTTCAAAACAATGATTCAGGACAATACAAAGTTGAGGTTAAAAGTAACGTCAAAATAAATTAATGCAGAAATACAAGTTTATTCAAAAAATCAAAAAACAAAAAAGACGTACAGATGTAAAGGTCCTGTATGTGGGACTAAGTACCATCTAGCAGTTAGTTTGCTGAAGTTAAAAAATGCCCTATCTAGAGTCAGTGTTAGGTTTGTCCATTCTGGGCTACTGTACAGACGACACAACTCTATGGATAAGGACCCGCTTCGTATGGAGATGTAAAGGTGTCATTTTAAAGTAACGCAAACTCAACAATTCTTACTTTCAGGTGATTATACACTAATGAAAATATGTGAATATAATGTTCCATCTCTGCCAATGGAGCCCACTAAATCCTAAATCTTTGACCTTAAAGAAAGGTCACTGTGGTAATAAGATGGATTTCAACAAATGAAGAGCACAAAATAGAAGAACTTTGCACTGGTCCAATCTGACATCATTACATTTGCCCAACTAACCTCAAAATGGGTGCCTTCCTCGAGGAGTGGCTGTAAATTTGTCTTTTTAAGGAAAATGATTACCAGCTTATCTGAAGAACAATTAATCACCTAACACGTGTATATGAAGGTAGACACATTAAAACAGAAATGTTGTGGCACTCAAAATGATATTTGTGCAGATGTCAGTCCATGCACATCAGGTTAACTGTAAAATAAGACACCAAAGTATATCAGTATGTAAGTCTCATCATGGCATAGTTTAAAATTAGCCTACATACTCCAGCACCATAATAGAATCCATAAAATTCAGTTATGACTTTTGGTTTTGGTGTGCCACCCCTCAGAATTTCCGTGGCCCCATCTGGCCACCACTATGAAACATTTCTGGAGGAGCAACTGTCCAAAATCCTAAGATATCATATAAACAGAGAAAAACAGCATATGTTCACATTTGAGAAGTTGGAACAAGCAACTGTTTAAAGACACATTACACAAATGTCTTCAAAATGTTGCTTACACAGTATATTTAGTGTAATTGGAAATATCTCAGGTCTCTACAAAACTTGAAATTAGAGTTTCAAAAGTTTAAACAAAGCCTGACCAAACAACACAAGTTCATAAAGAAGAGCTGACAACAGCCAAGCAGTCTGTTACAGTTTAAGATGGTCAAACAAAACTTACAGAGATTTCCATTAATGTGAGACGTGGTCTTTTTCACTGCAGACACTTTGGCATTGAATAGCAGAAAAGGCACAGGTGGAATCAATAACACCAATCATGGCTGCACATGATTCATGTAATTAATTACACCTGTGGAGGTCCTGAAACCTGAGCTCTGAAGCCCAGATAGTCACCTGACACATCACTGTTAGTGACTGAGTGCAGTAGTTGAAATGATTTTGTGGAATCATTTCAACTGGGCAGAGACATTTTGTGATGAGTATTTTAGACTGTATGTAGTCTAAAATGTTTATAGTTTGCATCCTGTAAACAATACTGTTGGACCAAATCAATATATTTTGAAGTCACTGTTATGCTTCCCTGGAACGGCAACTGTATTCTCGAGAAAATCCATCTTGCAGGCTTCATGTGATGCGTTTGTGTCTGAACCACCAATCAGCGTCCTGTGGGGATCTACTGGCAGCTACGGGCATGGTTTAGGTGTGTGTGACAACATTTATGATGTCTCCGCTGGTGGTGAAGAAAATCGGAAGTATGCAGTATCCCATTTGTTGGTCTGACTGGTTGAAGTTAGCCCTTTGTCAAACAGTTTCCAACGACAGCTTCTCAGATAGTTCTGTGTAACAAACCATCTGGTGCGCCAGGTTACTGTTACGTGTGTTTGTTCGTACAGAAATATGAACATTTCTTGTTGCCAACTCCTTCCAAGTTTGTTTGTTTCTTTTTCACTGTGTGGAGTTTTACAGACATCATCATCAGACATCTCTTAAAGTCTTTACGCAGTGAGGATTATTCCCCTTGGCAGAGTCTGCAGAGCATAAAAAGTCAGCCAGAGACACCAGAGACACAGCCCTTTAACCTCATGTAAGGCGGACAGCAGAAGTGGTCTAGCATCTGCCTTGACATAGGCATGATACAGCCCATATAAAATCAAAAATGGCACCTAAACATCAATGATTAAATGTAAACATGATTTGAACCTGATGTTGTCAGTTAAAGCATCAGACCTTTTATTGTCTGCATTGAACTACAGAGGAGAACAGCTTGGCAAGCCACAAGACTACTTGTCTCATAATTACCTGATTGTAAATCTAACCGTAACGGAAACTGGGAGAGGGGTGATGGGAAAAAAAGGGGCAGAGCAGCCATAAAATGTTAGACCCTCCCCCCGATATCCAAAGCATTGAATCCAAAATAGCAAATCAGCTCTGATTCAAATAAAGCTCCAGTATCCTCAGATAGCCCAACAATACTATAATACATCCTGGATCAGAGCTAGACAACCCCGAAACAGTAAATGACTTTACTTGGACATTTGACATTCTTGCCGTCAAACAGCTGCAAAAACCCACTGCCAGTAGACCAGCATATAAACATCAAGGCCACGCCTGTTTTGGGGGGATAGAAAACACTACACATTCCCACTCCAGCCTTGTCACTTATCAACATTTGGTAATGGGCTTTCCACATCAAGATATGATGTGCAAGGTACCCTTAGTGCATTGATTGTTGATGTTTTGAGGCGCCTTGTCAACTTCAGCCTGTTACATGCATTGTCTGTCCTCAAAATACACTTCTGTTTTCACAGGAAATGTACAGACTGCATACAGTCTCTTTCAATGTAACAAAGTGTTTACATTTTGCCTACATACGCACATGATTTAGGTTTAGTCAACAAAAGCATGTGGTTGGGTCTAGGAAAAGTGAACAAAGTTCGGCTTAAAATTACACAGGAAGAGAACACTGGCCTCCCAGGTGAAAGTCAGTGGTTGTTCAGCCTATCCAGCACAACTCCCACCCACCCTAGTCAGACTTCCACCCCCTAAACTTTCATTGTTGTCCCTCTGTGTTTCCCCCTGACATTGCCATTAAATAATAACTGTGACTGGCTGCGTATCATGCAGACGTGAAAGAATGGCTTTTTCTTTGGTGTCTAACACTGGAAGTCACTGACCAAGCGCCGGATTTTGACAACTTCGGTGTGTATTGGAAAACCAAAGATCCTACAGATGTCAATGCCTTTTGATGTGTTTGGATTATCATTTTGACATGTCTGTATGCATTCATTTCATGTTGAATACATATTTGTTTTATGGACACGTCTAATAATTATTTTGTGACGTTGCCTGAACCCGAGTCTTTGCGATACCTTATCTAGTTAAGGTTGATGGTCGTCATGTCCCATCAGTCTGCCCCTGTTCAAGTGAATCAATGAGTGTGCTTACAAGGTCTTTAGTATCCCGGTTTTGATTGGGTTTTTTAAGTATCCCATTTTTGTGTTTGTACATGTAAATACCATATCCCGAATTCAGAAACCAGGTTATGCCCTTTTCCCGGTTTCAAGAAACCCGGTTTTGCCACCTGGAGTACTCCGATAGAAGCCGGGATACTGGAGCATGTATACGCCTTACTCTGGTCTCTGACGGCTGCCCGCCGTGTGCAAAGGCGCCAGAGTGACGCACCAGATATACAAGCAACATGGCGCCAACGAGAGCTTCCCATTTTTGGAGCGACGAATAGACTGAATTTTGCCTGAAAATGATGAAAGAACTCAACATAACTACGTGTTTAGACGGCAGAAGACACAGAAATGCCGACCTATTCAAGTCTGTTGCGGACAAGCTACGTGACACTGGTTTTCCACCTCGCACCATTGAACAAGTTAGGTCGCGGTGGAAAATATTAATATTTATAATGATAATAATAATAATATAATTAATAATGAAATATAATTAATAAATATATCACATTTCCCACTCAATCTGTTGTAAACAAAAGACATAAGACATAACACACGTCTGTGCAGATAGGATGTAGTGATCAGAAAACGGGTTACTGGTATTTATCATGTATACAGAGATATGAATAACCAGGTTTCTCTGTGTTCCATGTAAACATCATATCCTGGATATGCTCAAAGCCGGGATAAGCCTCAAAACCGGGATAAGCCTCAAAACCGGGATACTAAAGACCTTGTAAACACAGTCAATGACTCAACAAACTGGTCAATGTGTATTATGTGATACTAGTGACATTACAACAGTCACACAGCACAGCACTAGATTTTAAATTAATAATACAAGGACCGTATTTTGTGTAACGTTATTTTCAGGCCTGGAAAACAGTTTTCCTACTTTCAGAACCTTTCCAGGAGTTCCTTGACCGTGGGAACTAGTTCTTTTCTACAAAACTAAACAAGAAAAAACATACAAAGCACAAACAATGATACAGTGAAATGACCATAAAACTTATTGAGAGTCACTAGATCATTCATGGCTACATACATACATCTTTAAAAACGAGGAAACACATCC